CCAGCGGCCCGGTAGGACTTGTTCCACGGACCGGTACCGGTCCGCGGACCGGTGGTTGGGGACCCCTGCCCTAGAGAATCAGCAAAGGGTGCAACTGCACCAAGGAAGCCCAGCCAGCTATGAAACTGGACTACTTCTTAGCATGGGCATTTCCAAAACCCCACTGCAGCAAAAGATGCATGACAAGCAAAACCAGAGGGGTCCCAGGCAAATCTTGGAGGGAGACCTAGCCACTATAAACATGATGGGCTGCCTCTTCCAACTGCAGAATTTTTTTTAAAAAGTCTTCTTTAAAAAAAATGATCCAATGGCCCCGGTGGGGTGGAGGAACTACCCCAGGCAGGACTGGAATGGGCTTACATTGAGGGAGTTCAACTGTTGCTCCCTCTTTCATCTGCTTGTGTGGCTGCAGGGGGCGGGCAGGGAGGCGAAATGTAGCATAAACAGAGAGAGGCGGCTGCCCGGTTGGGTGGCGCCATCTTGGCACTGGGGGAAGTTGGTTTAGCTCCAGCCCCAGCCCATCTCCCTGATCCCGTTGAACAAAATGGCTGATGTCTATAGCCTATTTCCAATGATCTCCTATGAGGGTGCTGGGCTGGGTGTTTTTTTCAAAGTTCTAAAGAGAGAAGATCAGAACCTATTTCTGAACAGTCGCTGAAAAGCCTGAAAAAGAAAATCTCTTGGCGGAGGGAATCCCACTTGGATCAAAACCTCTCCTTGCAACGTCCAGTCACCAAGCGCTCACGTTAAAGGAGCAGGAGGAAGCGCAGCTTTTTGGACTTCTCTATCCATGAGTTTCTTTAGGTGTTTGGGAAAAACGAATGAAAACGACGGAGAGACGCAAACCTTATTCCTGATCAGATTATGCAAAGGGTTTTAAAAGTCCGCGAAGTGAGGCTGGCCTGGCTCCAAGCAAGGCCTCCCCTGCACGCAAAGCCAGGGGCCAGGCTTTCTCTCCCCTTTGGCAGGCAGGCATTTGTGTTGGGAGGCAACCTCTGTCTAAAGATGCCCAGAGCCACATGAGCCTCCGGGGTCATTGTTGTGCAATTCAGAGACTAGGTTTTTGTTTTTTCGTAGCAGAAACTAATCCAGTAGCTGAAGCTGTTCTGAATGAATTTCGGACAGTTGGAGGCACCTACAAACGAGGATTGTGCTTACATCAGAAAGGACAACTCAAAAGAGACGGGCGTTTTAGCAAAATCAGAGTTGAGGCTGAGTATGTTTGGGGCCCCGAGGGTGTGGGAGGTTTCCTAGGGCTACAGAAGCAATGCATGTTCGTCCCATTCTCTAGAAGTAAGACTTGATTTGGCAGCCATGATTCCTGTTTTGAGCCGTCTGCTTAACTGTCCGTCTCCACCGTTTCACGGAGCTGTTCTTCCTATTTGGCAAAACGCGACAACGCGCAGTCCAGGCCGTTAGCTAAATGCCCCTTAAGGCACTTGGAGATGCATTTGCACTAAGCAGTTTTCCCTTCTTCTGGGTAAGACGTACAAAAAAAAAAAGGTCATGAATAGCCTTAATCACTTCAGAGCTGCCATGTTAGAAAAAAATAATAATAATCCATAATGTGTAGCAAACCTTGGAAGTGTCCCCAAGGACAGTCTCCTCCAGAAGGGTTTCAGAAAGCAAGAATTAGCCTCCAATGCTGCTTTTCCATTTCTGGTCCAAGTGCTGCCTTTCCCTTTTTTATGCCTCTTGAGTCTCCATCACCAGAGGAAGCTAATGAGACAGGGAGGAAGCAGGAAGTGAAGTGGGTTGCAGGAAAAGAAAGGAATAAGGAGTCTAATTAAAAGCATTTCTATTCTACTCCTAAGGACCAAACTCAACACGACATTAGGCAGCCCTGCATTTCATGCGTACGTTGAAATAAAAAGAAACCACACCTGCAGATGGGCTGACAATGATCAAGATCAGAGCAGGTGCAAGGAGGGGGCGGAAGAATGGAAAGTGTTCATCAGGAGCTGCTATTTGATGTTCTGGAATGAAATTTTTAATTAGGGAGGAAAGACTCCAAAGGAAAGGAAAGCGCCAATCGGTTTGGCTTGGACCTGGGATGCTGCTTTCCAAAGGAACCATTTCTCTTTTCCCTCTTTCTCCTGTTTGCTGTAACTTTTAAGTTTGAAAAAGAAATGACACGACCCCAAATTCCCTACTTTTGCCCACCGCTTTGATCGCCCCTTTGCAAAACTAAGGAGCACAAATACAGGTAGTCCTCGACTTACGATCCATAATTGGGACCAGAATTTCCACTGCTAAGCATCGCTAAGTGAGTCGCGCCCGGTTTTTCCAAATTTTTCGGCCATGATTATTCAGTGAATCATTGTGGTTGTTAAGTGAGTTCTGGGCTCATTAGGTGAGTTCCACTTCTTGTTAGTGGAATGGAATGGAACAGGTCTTCTAGTCCCGCCCTAGACCATTCCAGATAAATGGGTGTCCAACCTTTTCTTGAAAACCAAAGGAGCATCCGTGACTTCTGTAGGCAAGACGTCCAGATCAACTATCTCATGGGGAAAAACATTAACCGAAAGAGGAAGGCTAAGCTTTATTTTTTTTTAATCTGAAGAAGAAATCACTTACCAGAGCTCACGAGTTGCACAACCTCAGCTCTTCAAAGCTGCTACGTCTCCATTTCGATGGAAAGAGAAGTCCCTTGCTGGTAATCTGGACAGACAAACAAAACATATCCACTCAGTAAGACAGAGATTGCCCTTCCTGCAGAGTTGTGTAGTTGTGGAGCGCCATTTTTCTAGGCTGAGGTTGGTGTGTGTGTGGGGGGTCTATTTGGCTTGGAATGGCCTGCTGGGGACTCTGCACTCTACAAAGACAGAGGAAGATCGCATGTCCTTCGCATCCAACTAGAATTTGGTACAATTACTGCGATTACTTCCCAATTCTGTATTTAATAACTGCTCCCCCTTTTTTTTTTTTTTGTAAATTTTATTTGAGTTTTCACAAAAGAAAAAAAAATACAAATAAAACATCTATTTTGAAAGTAGCGTAATCCCGGGTTACATTTCTTCGTACAGACACAAATTCAACTTCATGCTCATTTTTATGTTCTATTCCATATCTTATTACTATTTTACATTTTCTGCACAGCTTCTCCCCTGTTTTAATTTTCTCAATTTTATTTTAATTATCCCATCTCAATTCAAATCATTATATTTATATTTTTTGTCTGTCCTGTTTCAATTATCTATTATCTTTTCTCATTAAACAAAATTTCTCCTGTAGTTACTGATTGGAGTATGACGCCTTTATATCTTTTAAGTTTATCCATTTAACTCTTATTTAGGCTTCAATATATACCCTAAAGTTATAACATTCAATATAATACATAACTTCCATTTGGATTCTGCTTGGTACATTCTTAAAATACACACTATATTCTTAAAAAAAGAAAAAATTATAAATGTATGTGATTAAAACAACACATTCCATTCCAATTCAATTCTATCATTACTATTAATATTCATTAAAATCTTAACTTCTTTAACATTACTTTTCAATTAAATATCATACTTCTATGGGAACGATTATCAGCTTTCCATAATTAATTCCCTCTCCTCTTCACTTATATTTTATAAAACGTTAACTAATTAAAATGTTCCCGTTCCTTCCTAATTCAATTTTCTCATTTATTTTATTTCATTTATTTTATTCACAAACATTTCACTAAATTACATTATTTTATCCCTCATTTTAATCATACATTGTTTCCAATTTTCTAAAGTTATTTCTATTACTAATATAACAAAAACAATCTTATGTACCTTTACAGAATCCCTTTTTCAGTTAGGTTTTCACCCATTATCTCTAAATAGGTCCTGTTTCTCTATATCTTGCTCCGGTCCTTTGTAACTTCTTTTCCTTTCCTTCTTCCCTCTCTTCTTCTCTCTGCCCTTTTTACCCCCTTGTCTCTCTACCTCTATTTCTCTCTTCTGTATTCCCCTTTTCTGTTGCTTCCAAGTATTATACTTATTTTTCAAATTATTTTTCTTTTCTTTGGTTGTTTTTTTAAGTCTTAAATTCTCCATTCTCTTTCCCCCCTTTCCTTCTTCTTCCCCACATAAAATTGCTTGTTCATTAAAGATGGCTTCTTCTTTGTCCCAGTCTTCTTGTTTTGCAGACGTTTCTTGTTGTTTCTCATAGTTCCAAATCTCCATTTCTAAGAATTGAAAAACGAAGCCAAAAGAACCCTTCCCTTCTTGTGCATCTTCTTTGTACTTTTTAAGTTCCATTTTCAATTCATCCAGAAGTGGTGCCATTGTATAATTTTTTAAACAACTACCCAATTAATTTTAGTCATTCAAATGTAATAACCAAGGATCCAAAGATCACCAAATAATCCAAATACACGCAAGCTGTTTCTTTTTTGCTCTCTTTTTTTCCCACTTTCTCTTCCTGGGGTTACTGTTTAGTTACAAAGTTTCAGTTAAAATATATCTTTCAGAAGTCTTGTTGAAGTTTTACTGTAGATTCTTTTTAATTCCAGGCAGTCTCCTCCCTCTTCCAGATCCTGCCCTTATTCTTTTTCTCTCCCTTCCTGCTTATGAAAAAAAAAATTGTGTCCAGAAATCTTTATTATCCCTTTGACATTTTGTTTTATTTTCAGCTTAATTGCCTGTTGATGTCAAAGCGGATTTTTCCA